TGTCTTTGAAGTTTAAAGTTTACAACTTCTTTGAAACTATCTTAAACCAAACTTTAATGATTTCCATTAAATATAACTTAACCAGTGAGCCATGAAATCTAGGTTAAACCCTGATTTGACACATACTTTTGAAAGTTCACATCAAAATGAACAAATGTATTAAGTTTCCAGTTTATGTGACCACAAATTCATGGTAAACTACCTTAAACCAAAAACTTTGACCTAACGTCCACCAAAACATTAACCTGATCAATGAACCCTGAAATTTTGGTCCAACCCTTATTTCGCATATATCTTTGAAAGTCCACATCATAATGGTAAACTACAGTAATCCTAAACTTTAATAATTAAATATAAATACGGGGAGAAATACCATGGACAGACCAGAAAGCTTTTTTCCCCACTACTAATTACATGGGATATAAAAATGTTTATTATGATCTTGCATTTTTCCTTTCATTTCTTTTAATAAGGATAACTTAGAAATAATATTCAAGTATATCCTCTGGTTAATTTATTTCTCAGCCAATAAGGAAGTAACAATGAAACAGACCATCCATTTTATCTATATTTCAACTGAGTTTGTTAAAATTGCCAAATAATTTCAGAGAACATGAAAATATAGATTATAGGTGTAACACACAGAGAATTGACAAAAACTAATGCAGTTATATAAAAATTACATTTCTTCTTTGTATATTGTCATGCAGAAACAAAAATTCACACGCAAATAAACCACATGCTTAGTCATACCCCTTTAATTCAAAGAATAATGACACATTATATGTCAAAATGACAAAATTAAATACTTTAAGTAAGTGTGATTCCTGCAGTCGAAACTTAACAACATATAAATTTAGTTTTATCAATGTTCCCCTGCATGTTCACTGTAAACATTGCAGGAATACATTGTTCAAACATTTTATAAAAACAATAAACTTTATGACCATTTGTCGTACATTATGAATGTTGTTATCAGAATGGACAACCAGGAAGCCAAAAATTTATAACTATCATCAATGACAATGGCAGTTGAAAAATGTGGTAAATAAATATGTCAAGGACCTTCTTAACATAGACCTTAATAAAATAAATTGTCATTGTTCAGTGAGAAAGGCTTATTATCAAATTGTCACATTTGTTATAAAAAATTATATAAAACTGTCAACACAGAGATATGTCTCGCCTTTTTGTTATTTTGATAGTAAAATGCAAATGTTGAAATCAAAATAGCAATACTTTTGCATGTAAGTTTGGCAAAATATACAAAGTCAAGGAATCATGACTGAAAGTACAGGGCCAAACAATCTCAATGGGAATGAGATATGCCAATGATAAAACAACTGCATACCAAATATCAATAACCTACCACTAGAGGATACCATAAACTGACCTAATTAAAAACTAATATTTGTAAATTAAGCAAAAGTTTCGAAGTCAATAGACCATAACTGAGGGAGTGGAGCCAAATAATCTCCATGTAAATGAGAGGTGTCAATGCTGATACAACTGCATACCAAATATCATTGACCTACCACTAGTGGTTCCCCATGAACTGACCTAATACACATGTGCAACAATTAAAATGTTTACCGTACTTTGCAATTTCCTTCAATCAAGACAATGTGTAAGATTATTTCTGAAAGCCATTATTTTATCAAACATTTGATGAATGTTGTCAGTAATGATAATGAACAAGTAAAAGAAAATGAACACCTTATTTTGCAATGTCCCACAAATCATTATAAAACAACATATGATCATTTTCAAGAATCTTCGTTTCTGGAAGCTTCAAATTCTTCATAAAATTATTTCCAGAAAACTAAAATCCATTAATTTAAGAAACAAAGAAAAGTATATTATATATCCAAGCAGAAAACATAACAAATTAATGTGTTTGAAATTTTAAAAAATGAACTTCTCCAACATTACAAAATATATTGACAAATAAACAAGGCAAATGTGAAAACTTCTACAATTTGGTTGAAGAAAAATTTAAATTTATCTTCTTAAACTAAAATTTATAATATTACTTTCTTTTTAATCTGTTCCATATTATTTATTAGATAAACTGTATATTGTGTGCTAATTGTGTACTAACAAGTGCTAACCTTATCACTGAAATGCTATATACTAACGTTAATGAGGCCGGTTGCTCAAACAAGGAAAATTTCACAGTAGTTTTCTTAAACAAAGAGGTAGGATGTTTCATTTTATATACTGACCACTCAATTCAAATCTATTTATATTTTTTTTCCAAAAACAATCTTTCTTTGGGGATTTCCTTTACTTCCAAATATAGTATCACTCCAAAATCTATGATATCATATCGGTATATGATTTCATAGATGATTAATTAGTTTATACAAACAATGGAAATCCCACTGTACACTGAATACCCATTGGTGGCCTTGGGAGGTTTTCTGCTCTTTGGTTGGGTTGTTGTCTTTTTGACACATTCCCTGTTTCCATTCTCTATTCTATATTATAGTATTTGATCTAATCTTGAAAACTTAACATTGAACAATGAACCATGACAACGAGGTCAAGGTCAGTTGAACCATTTCAGAAGGATATGTTCACCTCACAATTATTCTGCATGCCGAATACAGTTGAACTTTTACTTATAGATAACACAATAGACATAATCATGAAAACTTAATATTGACCATACACAATATAGATCTTCCCCTCAATTTATAAAAAATATTCTGTGGATTAATTTTTTCATTGATTCCAAGTTTTATGGATGGATGAAAAATTGAATTTTCATGGATACTTAATTATATGGTTTTTGAAGTTTGGTTCCAATTCCAACAAAATTTCTGGAGTTATCATCCAGAAACCCCTTTATGAACTAGTTTTGGTTTATCTAAAAACATGTGACATTGACCTTCAAGGCATCAAGGTCAGTTGAATGTTGCCAGGCAGACATGTACACCTTACAATCATTCTCTACTCAAAAAAAGTTGATCTCTTACTTATAGTATCTGAGAAACTATAGGGCTGTTAGTTTTCTCTGTTGTTTTGTTAACATTTTGTAATCTTGGTCTCTTTTATAGCCTTTATTTGGTATGTGTTATGCTTATTTTCAAAAGTCGTACATTGACCTTTAGTTGCTTACATTCCTTTGGTTCCTTTGTAATCATACCACAGCTCCTTATAGGTATTCTTATGTTGACCAACCGACCATGAAAGGAAGTCAAGGTCAGGTGAACCACTTCTGACAACATGCATACCTTTAATGATTTTATCTACCAAACATAGTTGTCCTCATAATAACTTAAAATATATGTCGCCTGGTTGTGCAGAATGTTTTTAAACAATGGAGATTGCTCTATCCTGAACATTTAAATATTTGAAAAATTACTAAGTTCCAAAGTCTGGAAAAATGAGAAAATATCCTCAAACAATCCCATAAAAGCAGGTGCACAACTTCAACATTTGTGCAATTTTAAACTGTAGGAGGAGTTGATTACTAAAAAATTGTACCCTCTTTCATAAATTTTGATAAAAAAAGACTATAAAGTTCAAGTCTGGAAAAATTAGAAAAAAAATCCATATGAGCAGGTGCACAACTTCAATATAAATGTAATCTTCCTGTAAAGTTTCAGGGATCTGGGATGAAAACTGTAGGAGGAGTTGAATAAACAAATAAGGTACCAACTTTCCAAACATACCCTACCAATTCGACCACCCAACATCACCATACTATAAGCAAAAATCACATGATATGGAAATCAAGTATTTTTTTTAAGGGGTCATTGAACCATTAAGATGAGGTAAAGATCAATGGACATATTTCGGCGAAAAAATTCTGCCTCTAAGGCATGGATTATCTGCAGGAACTCTTTTACATTCTGAAATATGTAGCTTTATACAAGAAGTGCCCCTCTCATCTTGTTATCTCTCATTTTGCAACATTCAATGAAGGTGGGACAAAAAGCATATATAACATAACTTGTCAAAAGTATGCCCATGTGAAGCCTTTTGGCATTGAAATAGTATTTGATTCAACATTTTGGCCTGCAAATATATTGTCTGCAAAACACATGTTATGTTCTGAAATGTTTCATTATACATAGAAGAAATAGTAGATTGTGGTTCAAGCATAGATATGCTATTAATTGGTCAACAAAACCATCCTCACAATATGCAGACATGTTAGATTTCCTAGCCTTATTCTTTCATTTTATTTAGCATTGTTTTTTTTATAAATATATACAGATGTAGCTTTTATGTAGCTTTTGCTCGCTTTTAACACCATAATGTGACTTTTAAATGAAAAACAGCAGCAAAAGTCATGTTCCTTTGCTTTCTGTTTTGCCATAAGTACTTGAAGTATCAGTACTTCAATTTTTTAAAATCCATGTGCAGCTAAGGCTTCAGATAAATGCCTTCTATTCTTCAATCAAAACAATCAGAACAAACTATCTTGATAGAAAATACGTTAGTATACTGAATATTGTTCACTCATCATGCCTAGTCCCTAAGGAACAGACGTAATTACACCTTTTACTACTGGAACTTGAAAAATTCAAGGTTGTGTGACTATTCCTCATTGACTTCTCATCATTAAAAACATGCATGTTCCGTGTTGAAGGCCGTACTTTGACCTATAATGGTTTACTTTTATAAATTGTAACTTGGATGGCGAGTTGTCTCATTGGCACTCATACCACATCTTCCTATATCTATAGACTGTTTGTTTAAAATTAGGCGAAAGTGCATTAGATTTACAGATATTTACCATTGTTAAGGATGTCACCAGAAAAGTAAAACTAAACTTTTCCTTCCACAGATACAAATGTAAAGGCAAAAACTTATGATTCATTATCAGTCATGTGATATTATTTTTCGTGAATACGAAGGGTAAGTAATATTTGTTCACGACAAATATTCATTTTTCAGGTACTTTGAAAAAACCATGAAATCATGCATATTCAAAACTAAAACCTTTTCTTAAAATGTTAATCCAAAATATTATAAAGAATTCTTACCTGCTACTTTTTCTCTCAGCTCTATCAATGAGTACATCTGATACATTTGACGGTGGTTGTGACAGGCTCACATCTCCTCCACAGCTCTGCATTGATTGGTTGAATACTGACGAGTCTCCAGCACTCTGATCTGGTGACAGTATGGACTCCAGTTCAGCAGGATAAGGTTGCATTAGTTCATCATAAATACTACCCAACATCTGGGGTAAGTTGTGAATAAAACTAAAAATTCAAACTGTATTTTAATGTATTCCAATGAAACATTGGTTAAACAAAACACCATTTCACTACAACCAAATTATTACTTTTTAAAAACAGTGATTTTTATAAATACAGTCGACTCCACTTAATTGCATACCGCTTAATAGCATAATTCGGTTAATTGCATTGTTTTCTCCTGCACAAAACCATTTCCCATTCATCTAATGTTAAATTGTCCGGTTATATGCATAGCTCTACAAGTGGCCTTTCGGTTTATTGCATAGAAAATTATCGCCATCTAGATATGCTTAGTTAAATCTATCGAAATTTTTGACCAGAAACGGCAAGTTGGTGAGTATATTTTTCTTGAATGCATCATTATTTTCATTATTATTTCATATTTACTTTTGTGTTATTCAAATAAAGTTTTAAAACAGTTTCTTTCGTGTTTATATGATTGAATTTGATTTAAAAATAAACCTCGATATCTACACAGGTAAAGTTTCCCATGTTCTATTTTAAGCCTCGAGGTCATAAAAATGTCAAACAGGTAATTGTTGTAAAAACACTGATCATTCTATCTAAAAAGGTGTAAATAATTGATTGGATTTCAAACACTGTCAATAGATTACATTTGGGGTGAAATTCAAAAACAATAACGCCTGCTAATTATCGATCATTATCTTATCCCATGTGAACTCCCGTAATTGGGCTTGGGGTGATCTGCATTTATGTTAAATATTACAGGGCATTTTTATATGGTTCAAGAATTTTATACATCAATCATTTAATTTTAATATATTTTGAAAAGAGCATTTATTTCTAATTATTATATTTTCTCACTTTCAACACTCGTGTCCAGCAAATAACCCGTACAGGGCCCCTTTACTGCTTTGCATATACGAAACTATCGAAGTCAAATAAACAGTGTTACTTCACTCTGCAAGCTGTAAATATTGTATATCAAAGGCAGTTTAGTACACATCTATTGTTAAAATGATTATAAACTGTGTAGTTTTGTTAAATAGTTTATTTTAATCAAAGCGTAACAATGTACATTGAACATATGGGTCATAGAAACAAATCTATTTTTAGAACAAATTTATTTTCGTATCCCAGGTAAACTGGTAAAGGAAACGTCGGTACGCAAATAAACTAAAACAAAATGTGTTTATAATCTTTATTGAAATAATACAAAATAAAATAACATGTATGACACTAGACATATAACTTTTATTAGAATAAATCAACATTCAATATGTTGTAATTGGATTATAGACGTTCATCTTTCTTCAGGGATTTCCTTTACTGATCTGTTCTATCGATGTTGTTTGACTCCGTAATTTGGCATTTCGGATATAAGCATACTCCGCTTTATTGCATAATTTTGTCTGACAAATAGGCTATGCAAATAACCGGAATGTACTGTATAATCTTACTGTTAATAGACGTCAAGACTATTGGTCAAAATTATTTAAAGGAAGTTAAACCCATTTATCATAAATACAAGCTAGCTCTTGTTTTCATAGCCTTTAATTTCAATTAATCAGGTTATTTGCAAACAAATCTTATATTTCAAACTTGTTACCTGCTATATGGTTCGGGTATGTATTCATTGTTTAAGACTGTAACATAACCTCTTAATGTCTATAAACCCTACTGTGATAGCAGTCTTAGTATTTCAATTACAGAATTCAGTATGGTAATTGCAATTTTTTCATTGAAAAAAATTCATTAATGTTCTTTAAATAAATAAAAGAGTACAACAGTTAACATGCAGAAGTACTTATAGGGAAGATTTCAAATTAAAACGGAAAGACACGATTTTAATAAAACTTGTCATTTGTAATTGACTTTCTGTCTCCTTGATAATTACCTCCATTCAATATTTTAATTTCAGAGCTCTGAACAAAACTTTTACCTGAAAATATTACTTACTTTTCCACCAAACAATTTTTCATGAACTCTGACAGCAATTTTGGTTCTGTTATAAAACTGATGGTTCTTAGTAAGGTTACTATCTACAAAATAAACAGACAAATGGCACTGAATACTTTAATGGATTAAACTTTTCTATTCAGTTTTCAGAGCAGGGGTATAATAAAATAAACAAATAAGACATGTGTAAGAGGTCAATGTCATTTTCTCTTGGGGATAATAGGTAGCCATTGGATACATATGTTTCAGTATTCTTGGAAAAGTAACTAGAACTTCAAAAGACAAGGTTCTCACTGGTATATTTTTTGGATGAGTTTTGAGTTATTGAAGTGATGACTCCAAGCTTATTCTGATGAGTCCATAGTATAGGAGCTCATATATATATAGTTCTGATCTGAAACATTTTTATTCTGCTAATTGGGCTTTCTCAAAAAAATGATTTTTTCAAACACTGGATTAGTCAGGTTAATAGCATATAATATATAATATACTATACAAATCCTTGATAATATACAAACAAATCCACAACCCACATATTGTTGACATATCATGCTGTCGATGAATAAGTAATACCAAAATTTGGCATAGTGAAACTACTGTGGATTCATATTTATTCGTGGGGTATCAATTTTCATTGATTTTGTGGTTACAGGTGAACAACGAATTTAAATGTTCAACAAAAAACAAATTTTCGGTAGACTTGTACAGTACGGTGACCTTTAGTTGTTAATCTCTGTTTCATTTGGTCTATTGTGGAGAGTTGTCTCATTGGTAATCATACCACATCTTCTTTTTATATTGTATGCAGACCTTGGCAAAACCACAAAATCAAATATCCACGAAAATACAAAGTTTCTTCAATCCACGAAAATTGGTACCAACGAAAATAAATGAATCCACAGTATTGTAGCATACAACACAATAAATATTGTGGAGCACAAATACACATGGTGACATTCATTTTCTGTGTAAACTATAGATTTCCCAATGACAAACTTTAGTAATAGTTGGACAGACAGACTAAAAGGTAGACCAAAATTTATGAATCCATACTCAAAAGTAACTTTTTTGTAAGTTTTATTTGCAGTTTGTAATGTTCATGCCCTATTAAATTTGAATGTCTTTTTTCTAAAACTCTTAAATGACCATGACGTTTGATCTAAACTCTTGCAAAAATATTCATGTAGTTAATGAACTCGAAAGCTTTATGACACACAAAGATTTTTCTAATTTATAATGAACACACAATATACCTCATCTACTTTATCTTCTAAGACAGATGCATTCTGATCTCCTCCATGTATCATCGACTGAACTTCTAATCTTAGGACTATCTGTAGTTGATATCTATACATAAACAAAAGGTAAATATAATACTTACTATTTGATGTTCCACATTTCACAAAGTTGTCAATTTCATTAACACCTGTTAGCATATTTTGAGCTGTTAAAGGTTATGACCCTTAAATTCATCCAATCATCTTCTGAGATCACCGCCAACCACACGTTGATTAAATTTTTTTATACAATGAGTGCAGAAAGGTATAAATTGTCAAAGAATTAGAGAAATAAGTTTTTTTTACACTGGTGCAATATGATATATTATCGCACATTAACTTTTGCTTATGTTCTGTATGCTATGTGTTGTTGCTATACAATAATATAGGGTTATTGCATGAATATTAATGATTTTTATATTGCATTAGCTTGCGAGTGCAATATGTATTCTCGAGGGGGAAAATTCACTTATATTCATGCAATAAACCTTTGACTGTAGAGCAAAGCTCAAAAATCTGCTAAAAACATATTTTTATCACTGTCATGACTGATGACATCAATAATTTGAAGCTATATTTGCATGCTAACTTTTCGTTATGTTCTGAGGGAAACATTAAGTTGCTATACAATAAATTCTGTTATTATACTAATGTTGGATAGCAGTGTTAAGCTATATATTCTGTTTTTATACTAAAATAATTTAATAAAAAAAAGTGGCAAAGTCCACTGAATCTATTGTATTTCTTCTTGTACTTCATCCTTGGCTATTTTTCTCTCGTCTTAGATATACATGAATAATTAACCACTGGTGTAAAGCAAACAACATTAATCCTCCTGATATTTTAAAGATACATGTAGTCTATAATAGGAGGGATACATAAACTTCTCCTAGCTTGAGTCATATTTATATGAAGTAAACATTGTTACAGATTGTACATACATCCAACTAACACCAATACACATTACTGAAATATTCCTCATTAAATTCTTACTCCCTAATCTTCATCTGTTTGTCATCTTCATTTTGATGTTTTTCACGTAAACTTTCTGGGGATAAGATTATTCCAGATTTTAACAACTGCTCGCAAGACTCCTGAAAATAATCAGTTTATATACATATAGATCATAAAATAAAAATTTTTAACATCGAACCATTATCACTACATTGCATGAAGTCCATCTTTCAAGGAATAAAGCCCTGTATAAAAGCTATTCCAACATTAATCTTTAACAAAGACACCGGCTAAAAATTCAAAAAAAAAATCTCAAGTCACAATAAGAGGACCTACAAGACAACAGAAATGTCATCTTGAGAACTTTTGTTGGAATTAATTCTTGTATTGCTTGTAGTATCTGTGAAAGAGACTTAATTACAAATATTTAACATTAACCAATAAACCATGAAATTGAGGTCAAGGTCAGATCAACCCTGCCAGACAGACATGTTCACTTATTAATCATTCCATAAACCAATTATAATTCACCTATTGCTGATAGTATCTGTGCTACATGCAACATGAAAACTTGACATTGACAGAATTATTATTAAAATGAAGATGTGAGGGATTACAATAATGCTGTTTATGTGATAAATTCCCAGCATCTGTATCTACTTGTTAGTTTAAGGAGCCTTTTGCATGAACAATTCTAAGGTTTTATTTCCTTGCCTTGTGATCTTAATGACAAATATGCTAAACTTTTGTTGTTTTGATAAAACAAATCCATCTTAATACCACTTTTATAAAAGCATGTGAAATACCTGTGGGTTGTCTTTTCCTGATTCTCTCATATAATATAAAGTTATCGTAACTAATGGCTGTACTGCTGCATATGATGAACAACTATCTTCATTCACATTTCTATCATACATTGTGCACAAATATTGTTTAAGCTCATTTTCATCTTTAAAATCTACAAGTAGAAATGTTTCTATATAGATTTCGTTTGTCCAGTGAATTGACATGCAGAAGGTTAGACATTCTTGTGTTTGAACCCTAGGGTTCAAACTTTATAACATATAGAACTGCTGAATTTATCACATATCTATAATTAGTTTCCATAAAGCAAGTTTTAAGTTGATTTCAGTTAAATGATAACAAATCATTTAAAATTCCAAAAAGATGAAAAAATATAACTTAGAAGTTTAAATTAATTAAAGAAAGAACTTTTTTCCATAATCAATACATAATTTCTGTAACATTTGGATAAAAATGCTTCATACATTCTTTATGTGCCTGTCCCTATCCAGGAGTATTCCAGTGGTTGTGGTTAGTTGCTGTTTTGTCATAATTGTTTTTTTTTTTTGTTTCAGTTTAAATCAGGCCGTTCTCTTTGAATTTTTTCATACTGTAAATTCAGAAATTATTGCGATGTTTTTATTATTGCGAAAAATGCGACAGGGTTATAATCGCAATAATTTAAACTTGCATTTTGAAATTTTTCATATGAATTAAACAGGATTTTTCTCAATATCGCAAAAATTAAAATTGCATTTTAGTCTAAAATGACAAAATCGCAATAATAAATACACGCAATAATTTCTGAATTTACAGTATTTGGTCACCCCAGGACCTTTTAAGGTTTGGGTTTAGCTCATTGTTGAAGGTAGAACTGTGACCTGTAAGGGTTCACATCCTTGTCCTTTGGTTGATCGTAGTCTCATATGCAATTAAACCATATCTACTTTTTTCTACATTTGTGTCAGGTTACATAGTCTAATGTTTACATATAATGCTTACCAACATTAGTGGGTGTGTCAACAACTGGTTTACTTTTAACTGTTACCCCTTCTGTTTGTTTATTGGGTTCCTCTACTTTTTCTTTAACTGCCTGTTTACTGCGTGTAAGAATCATCTGTCCTCGTGATGGTACAGAATCCTTCCTTTTATCATCTTTCAATAGAATATCATCGGAGTGCATATTGGTTTTATCTACAAAAATTATTGATTGAAATACATTAATCAAACAAAAATTAAACTGTCATGTCCACTGATTGCTGTTCTAATTGTTTGTTTGTTGGACTTATATTTTCAAAAATTTAAACACGTATTTGTCAGGAAAAAAACCCAAACCTTTTCTTCTAGTAAATAATTCTACCATGGTAATCAATCATTTCTTAAATCAACTCAATATCATGAGATATCCAAAGCTAGCATCAAGATGTTACCAAATGGATATGAACAATGGAGGATAGTAAAGTATGGCTCAATCTACCCCCTTTTGTGTAGCATTGAAACCTTACTTATATTTGGATAGTTTTACTAGTTATAATAATTTACATCATGCTATCAATTATTGATGAAATGTTTCTTTTTATGTTTTATTTTCAATAACACAAGATAACTAGTTAAGCAAGTATAAATTTCTACTGATGATTAATAATGTTATTGTCCTTTATGATAAATGTAATCCTTTGAATGTCACATGAACTGAAGCAACAATAACAGACATTAACAAAGCTTCGCTTGCTAGGATCTGACAACACTCCGTTTTACTTTCTGTTCAGCCCATGAAAATTTTTTGAAGGTGTGTATTAATCCGTCAAAACCAGAGAAAAAAACAGAAAGTAGAATAGAGCATTATCAGATCCTTGACACATGATCTGTATTTAATCAGATTGAATCTGAATAGACCAGGTTTTTTTCCTTGTAGGTCTGACCTGGTTGACATCTACATGCTAGATCACGGACTGCACATTTTTACTTATTTTACAACAGGTGGTATAAGAGTGAATAGTTTTTAATCACCATTGTCTTGTGTGACATCAAGTCCTTGGCGTTGTGGTGTATGATCAATAAGTTTTGGTGGACGACTTTCTATATGGTACATTTTCTGTAACTGTCTCAATGTCTTAACTTCACTGTCAGATAGAAACTCTAACTGGGAAATTCTGAAATGTTTAATAAATTCAATTATTGCTCTTTTTTTAAGATATTCAAGGTACAAAATTCATTTTATCCTTTCTGAATAGGAATCACCACAAAATAAATTTTAAGCAAATGGTGCAGCTATAACTGAACTAACATTTATATATTGTAATAATAATAATAATAAAAGATTTCTTAAAACAGATGAGTTTTTGGCTTATGAATAAGATTAGCTGGAGTAGCACTTCTCAAAGAGTAAGGATTATTATCTGATATCTAGTTACATTGCTGCTTCCTTCCACACACATGTATATGCAGTAAGTATTTGTGGTATTTAATTCTACTTTTATCCACACAAGAACTTTAGTTCAGGGAGTAAACAGGGATAAAGGATCTGCATCTAAAATTAATCTTATCAATTTTTTTATTTAAAGTTTTTTTTTTATATTGGTTCGTTTTTACTTTCTACCCAAACAATACAGCAGTAGTTGATTAGGGGCAGAATTACCCATTGTATTATGTTATCCTAGCACTCATTTCTAGAAAAAAAAAATTCTTAAAAAGAAGGTATATTCCGGATGATACATTAGCACAGACTTGGTCAATTCAATTTCTCCAATTAAGTGTGTTGAGAATTCTATAAAAATTACTGATTTTCACACAAAGAATTGTGTGTGGTTGATAAGTCTAAATTGAGATTTTTTGCTTTTTTCCAGTAACCAAACATTACAGTATTGATGAATGCACCAAATTTCCTGGATAATTGAAAATGAAAATGAAGTCAGGGTATTATTAGAACAAGTGGCTGATTGGAGAAAAAAACAGCATTCATTTCAATTAACAAATGGTAAAATATCTGATATCATATAATACAGGTTTTTGAATAGTTAATGGTACAATAGCCCCAGATTTTTATTGCAGGGGAGAATAAAAATTACCTTTCATTAAGTTTATCAATTAAGGTGATAAATGGTGCCTGACAACCTGGAAGATGGGTTTTATCTACACATCTTGGATTAAATACTCCTCCAATGGAACTTTTCTTTTCATCTGTAAAAGAAGAAAACTATTGTGAATAACATATCTTAGAGTATCTACACATCTTGGATTAAACACTCCTCCAATACAACTTTTCTCTTTATCTGTAAAAGAGGAAAACTATTGTGAATAACATACATGTACATCAGAGAGTATCTAAACATTTTGCCATCTCATATTATCTTGTTTTTTATTTCATGTGTACATTTGAAAAAGTTTTTCCAACAGTCATTGATTATTGGATGTTTATAATATGTTATCAATTTCATACTAAAAGAGGAAAAACATGTACCAAAGGGACGGTCAAAACTCACAAGTCAAAGAAAACAGAACCTGATCAATTAAAATAATGAAGCTGTTACAGACTTGCATAGAGTGTTGACTTTCAATTAAAGAACTCGTCATTTTTGACAATTATCTTATCAATTTGTAAGATTTGATGTCCATGCAAAAGTATGATGGCTTTACTATCACACTACATAAGATAAGTAAGATGTTTCAGAAATAGTCATAAAACTTTCAATATTAATTCCGCCACGCCTGTCCATGATCGTGACAGATGTTTAAGAAACTTGTTTTTAATCACTACAATAGCAGATCAATTTATATCATTAATTGTTGAATGTCATAAAAACTGTTAATATCAGGAACAACAGGGAAATATAATATGACATCAAGCTTTACAAAAATCACTATGTACATGTATTAAGTTGTACTTCAGCATGACCTTCAAACTTAAGAGTCTTCCAAGTTCTATATATTTACCAGTGTTTTTTTCTTGTTTGAAATTTGGTATTTTACTGCTACATAACTTTGACATTAATCCCTGCCAGTCTTTTACATTGGTTTTGGCTGGTTTCTCAATATCCTCGGCTGCAAAGGGTTTGTCTTTCTTTTTAACCAGCTGTTTTTCAACCTCTAAAATGACCTCTGTTGACACTGGGGTCAAGGTTGCTGATACAGATGTTAATGGTTTCAGGAGGAAAAACTTTGATAAATCTTTTGCCAACAACACCTGTTTATAGAATATAATTAAATCTACTTAATTGTACAGAGTTATATAAGAAATCTCCTACCTGGTTTCAATAAAGTTCAAAACAAATAAAGTAAATTATTTTTCACACAGATACTTTCATATTTTCGTATTAAGCCCCTTCTAAGTGACTTCAAGGGGTTTCATTTTTGTGATGTTCTCATTTGTGTGATAATCTCATTTTTATGATGTATTCAAATAAAAGAAGATCAAAGTTTGACATTCACAATGATTTATATTTGTGTCTATTAATCACTCATAAAAAAAAGTTGGTTTAAAAGTAATGGGAGTACAGAAAGCAATGGTTTCACAAACAAGCAATAAAAGTTCCTTTCTAATCAACATCAGTGTTCTCCCCACGATCTTTTTTATAGCACTGTGGTCAGTGCATAACCTAAGACTGGTTCACCATTCCCATTTCCACGTATGTAACATTTGTAATGCTATGCTGGTATATCAAAATATATTGACAAAGAACTGTATTTTTATACAAGCGTTAGGTAAAGTAAACAATCTTGGACAAATCAAACAGGTAATCATGTGATTGAAATTGTACAGGTAGCACAAGAATTTTGAAAAATGAAAAATGAATAGCCCAGTTACATGTATATGATTGGACAACACTGTGGTCTGTCCAGTACCCGTCGCTAAAACGGCCCATGGAGAGTACTGAACATAATACCTAGTACCGAAATAGGATATCGATGGTTACTTCGGTTTCAAAATCACAAGTCATGAAAATTCCATCCATCAACTTCTGTATGGAAAATTCTGTTAAATACAACCATAATCATGTATAATAAATCTTGCTTTTTATGTCTATAACATTTCAGCATATGAAAAAATATTTGTGACAGTTCAAAATTAATTTACAAATATGATTTTGCTTCACTTTTAATGAGATGTATTATATATCATAACCATTTGCTCACAAAGTTTATTCAATCAATAAGGTGTATTGTAGTGCTTATAAACAAAATGTGATGAAAATCAAGCTTACATTTAAATAAACAAACATATAACAGTGCACTTACAAGGTCAAATTTTCCATCTAAGAGCTGAGATATTATATTCTGAAACATGGAAGATCTTTGAGATTTACAGGAATCAGTACTGGTTCCCACACAGATAAACAATTCCTCGTTGTGAGAACAAAGTGATGAAGAATGATGTAAAGTACAATACACTTCTAATACTGTCAAATTCTGTAGTAAATCTAGTTTGTTATACTGTACTGTAATCTCTCCATCAACACTTGGTAGATTTAATGCTACACAACTCTCAGTCCCATCACTAGGTCTACTTATATTATCTCTACAATAAAATCGTAAAGGATTTAATAAATTTCTTCATTGGACTTGTTGGAAACATTTCGTCTAGTCAATCACACAGGACAAGTGCCCATCACAAATAAATTCGCTTGTGTTGCTGTCAGTGGCTTTCTATCTTATTTAATTTTATAATGATGTTAAAATTTATTGCTATGTGTTTCTTTATTCTACATTGGCTAGAGGTATAGGGGGAGAGTTGAGATCTCACAAAACATGTTTAACCCCGCCGCATTTTTGCGCCTGTCCCAAGTCAGGAGCCTCTGGCCTTTGTTAGTCTTGTATGTTTTTTTAATTTTAGTTCATTTATATGTTTGTGAGTTTAGTGTGACGTCCATTTTCACTGAACTAGTACACAATTTTATTTAGGGGCCAGGTGAGGACCACCTCCGGGTGCGGTGGCCATTGGTGGCCTTCGGCTGTTGTCTGCTATTTGGTCGGGTTGTAATCTCTTTGACATATTCCCCATTTCCATTCTCAATTTTATTTCCTGTACTTATTCATACTAATAGTTGAAAAAAATAACAAATTACCTCCCTTTGACAGAAGGTCCATGTATTTGTAAATTAGAGCAATGAATTATTTCTGAGTTTTAATAAGGGGAGACAATTTGAAAAATATTATAACCATCCACTGTATCAAAAAAAAATCTACAGTATTGAAAACTGTACAAATAGAAAAGAAATTGCACACAATTGAATATTTATTTTGATCTTTCATGATTTTCCCTCTCTCTCCTTTACATAAATATTCACTCTACTTTCATTATATAAATAGAAGAGATGTGGTAGGATTACCAATGAGACAACTATCCACTCAAGACTAAAGGACAATGATGTTACAAAGATATCTATTTCATTGTAATTTTACTTTACTCAAAAATGTATTCCAAATCAAATTGTTTTGTTCATTGTTAAATAACAGTGTCAAAATAACTACCTGGTAACATGCCATAAAAACTCATAATTATATTCCATAATATCAAAATTTTGTATAGAACCATTAATACCATTTAAAAGATAAAATTACAAACCTTCTAAGAGTTTTCTGTAAAACCTGTATATCAAGCTGGCACAATTGTAAATCTGTAAATAAAATGTATGTATACTTCTTCAATTAAGAATTAAACTGAGCCTGTTTATAGCTTCAATAGCAGGTAAAGGTATTCAAACTACAGGCTCTAAGGACACTGCGTTGCTCACCTAGGTCTATGCACATATTCATCAATTGACTCTTTCCAACATTGTAGACTAGAATATTATTCATGACTAAAATCTCTTTTTGTTGAACTCGTATTGCTGATATTTTTTCTGTTTACAGTTTCTCTCTATCTTCTATAGTTTTTGCCCAAAACACAATAAAGTTGAAAATAGTCATTAAAGGGCAATAACTCCTATAAGAAGACAACTGACAAATTCTTCTACATGTATGCTGACTTAGTTACAGATCTTGTCTTACTGATCATTTTTGCTTTTTAAAGTTTCTATCTATCTATTACTGCTTTCAAAATAATAGACAAAAATGCAAAAAAATGGTAAAAATTGTCATTTAAGTGCATTAATTCATATAATATTATTTTTATAACATTATTAAAAGTATGTATGAAATTAGCAAATCATGTGTCAAAATTCAAAATCAAGTAAGTGATTTTTTCCCATTAGATATTGGAGTCAAACAAGGTGACAACCTCAGTCCGAATTTATTCAAGATATTCATAAATGATTTGCCCAGATATTTGTCAGATACTAGAGACCCAGTTAATGTCAATGACAAAGATCTACATTGTTTAATGTATGCTGATGATATTGTTTTATTATCTACATCAGCTGAAGGACTACGAGAAAAGCTGAGAATGCTTGATAAATTTTGCAAAGATTGGTGTCTCAATGTGAATACTAATAAGACAAAGGTGCTGATTTTCAACAAGGCAGGCAGACATGTAAAACAGATATTCACATTTCAGAATATAAATCTGGAATGTGTTTCAAAATACAAATACCTAGGTTTATATTTAAGCTCATCTGGTTCATTCAGTTATGCTCAAAATGAACTATACAAAAAATCCCTGAAAGCTCATTTCAAATTAAGGAAAGATCTTTTATCACTTAATCCTGATGTAAAAACAAGTATTCATGTTTTTGACCACACTGTAAAACCTATTTTATTATATGGTAGCGAAATATGGGGGATGTTTAATTCTCTTTCCTCTAAATGTAAGAAGGAAGATATATCTTTTGAAAAATTATATTCAGGTTTACCCTGTGAGAAACTTCATATAAAATTTTGTAAATTTATACTTGGGGTACACAAGAAAACAACAAATGCTGCAGTGTTATCTGAACTTGGAAGATTTCCAATATATTTTAATATTATAAAAGGAATGTTATTGTACTGGTATAGATTAGAGAATTTAGGTAATAATTTTCCTCTATTAAAAGAGGCATATACACAATCAAAGACACTACATCACATGAATATAACATCATGGTATGGTTCAATAAATGTTGTTTTTAAAATACTTGGTATTGACTATACAAATGCCATAAATGCTCCATTTTGTGAATCCTTATACAAATTTAAGAAATATATACAAACCAAGCTATCAATATTGTTTATTAGCTGTTGGAAAAAACAAATAGATAAATTTTCAGACAGTAAACTGAAAACCTACCTTTTATATAAAACAAATTTTGGTTTTGAAAAATATCTAACATTGATCAAGAATTTTGAACTTAGAAGAAGTTTTACTAAATTACGTGTATCTTCTCATAGATTACAAATAGAATTAGGTAGATATCAGGGTATTCCCCGAATTAACAGAATATGTAATAAATGTTCTTCCAATACTGTCGAAGATGAGGCTCATTTTCTATTTGATTGTAACAAATTTGAGGATGATAGAAATTGTATGTTAGCTAGTATTGCACAATATAATTCTTATTTTAATCATATGAGCAGTCAAAGCAAAATTATCTGGTTATTTAGTGTAGAAAATGTTGAGTTACTTAAAATAATATGTAATTTTATATACAAACATCTTCCTTAGTGAAGATTAGTTAAAGGAAATCTATGTGTGTATATACATTTGATTGGACATAGAAAATTATATTCATCTGAATATCACAAACATACTAGCCGATTAAAAAAAAAATAATTGTTAAGATATATTATTTATTCAAATGTTCTCTTGTATCCTTGAGGCATCGTCCCCTGGTATCAACTGCATTCAAGTTACCTATGATGCTTCCTTGTTTGCTTTTGATACAGGTAGGAAAGAGACATTTACACACATTTTACATGCCTATGGCCCATAAGGTATCGCCCCCTGGTGTCAGCTGCCTTTAGGAAACCATAATGCTTTCCTATTTGCTGCTGACACAGGATGAGTCATGGACATGTTTAATTTCTACTTTCTTTTTGGCTAATTATTATATATTTAATTGATCCAACTTTTTGTGTACTATACATATGTGGATATCTATTTTTCTTTTTTTCTTTTTGGGCTGCTTGTTTGTTATCTATATCAACCACACTTGCAATAAAATGCATTAGTATTAAAAAAAACAACATACTATAGATTCTTTATCTACGTATTCTTTAAGAACTTAAATAGTTCTCGTTTAACTTTCTTTTTTTTTTTTTTATCTCATTGTTTGTATTGTATTATGAAAAATTATTGATGTTGTAATGTTTATGCCCTTTGGGGCCCATAATTGGAAATAAAATATCTTATCTTATCTTATAAAGAGTTGAACAACTATTTCAGAAATATTTGACATAATTGTAGATATTGTCTTACTGATCATTCTTGCTGTTTAGTTTCTATTTATCTAGTAAAGTTTTCAAGATAATAGTCAAAAACATAAAATATTGGATAAAATCGTCATTAAAAAGACATAATTCCAATACATGTAAGTAGTCAAATGACGACAATGCTGACTTATTTGTAGACCTAATCTTACTTATCATTTTTGGTTTTTAAATTTTCTATGTATCTATTACAGTTTGAAAAAATTAAGGAAAAACCAAAAAAAAATGAGTAAAAATCATCATTAAAGGACAATAACTCCAATAAGGAGTTGTCTAATGGTTTCAGCCATTTCAATTATTTGTAGTTCTTGTCTTGCTGATCATGTTTGCTATATAAAGTTTCTTTTTATGTATTATAATTTTCAAGATAATAGGCAATTATGAAAAATAAATGGAGAATGAGTCTATGGAACACAGATGCCCCACTTGTAAATATGCATGAGTCAACTTCCAAATACAGATGCAGTATTCACGTAGTTAAGACTGTTTTGTGGTAATAAGCATTGTGTATAAGTTTCATAACATTTGGTTGAGGCAAACTAAAGTTAGAGAACGGAAACAAAAACTTCAGCAATTTTTATGTTTGTAAAGGGGCATAACTCATGAACGGTAAAAGTGACGCCACCCAATTTCGAACTTGATCTGTGTTTTGTGGTAATGAGAATCGTGTATATGTTTCATAACATTTGGTTGAGGCAAACTAAAGAAAGAGAAAGGAAACGAAAAATTCAGCAATTTTTATGTTTATAAAGGGGCATAACTCATGAACGGTAAAAGTGACGCCACCCAATTTCAAACTTGATCTGTGTTTTGTGGTTATAAGCATTGTGTATAAGTTTAATAACATTTAGATGAGGCAAACTAGAGTTCGGAAACCAATTTTGGGGACATACGGATGGCCGGATGGGACGGACAAGGGTAACACTTAATGCCCCCTTCGCAACCGCAGGGGCATAAAAAATTGTAAAATTAGTCATTAAGAGCAATAACTCCTCTGAGGAGTCGTCAGACAAATATCTGTCCTTACAAAACCAAATGATTGTGCCTGTCTCGTGTTAGGACCCTTGTTTCTTTTAGATGAACCATTATGCCCTTAACATGATCCAGAATGCCTTTGTGTCGTTTTAGCAAGTTACTAGAAAAAATGACCTTTTTGATCATAATTTTTTTCTGTAAGTAAATTAAATTACAGTTTTGACATCTGTTGTGTGCCCTGAGATTAATCATATTATTAGAATTAATGACTAAGGAAAAGTCCTCTGTTAGGTATTAATTACTGGGGAATTAATATCAATCTACTAGGAATTATTCAAAATAAATTCAATTGACTGAATAATCGCTTTAATTGGTCACTGTGATTTTTTATATTATAGCATTAGTATATAACATGCTGCTGATGCATATTACTTTACTACTACAATTCCAAACTCACCATTATACATCAATATACCCTGATGACTAGAGCCCTTACAGCTGGTATTGGCTAGGTATTTTTTACTGTTCCTTGAGAAGTAGAATTCAAAAACTGTGGTAAATGGTAAAATAGCATTACTGAATTCTTTTTTCTTTCCTCCCTCTTCATTTTCATCCTTTACAATACCAATATTCTGGATACTAAGGCAGGATAATGGTTGTTTTCCATATTGTATAACTGCATCAATAGGTATAACTTTGCCATTTATTTTTTCTATAGCATCTTCTACAAGTTTGAGGCTCTGAATGTCAAAACTATTCTAAAAAAGAAGTTATCTAGAATTTTAGTATACCATAACTTATTATTTATGAGTACTGTCATTCCAAAATTTACATGTGATGAAATAATGAGATTTTAGGTTAATAAATAAATGGGTACTACCCACCTCAGAATTTTAAATATGGTGGTAACATAATTACTAAGTTTAAATTTAATTAGTATGATATATTCTGTTTTACATATTTTTTAAGTTACAGCTAAGTGTGGGAAGAATTTTGTTTCAAATATATACTACTTTCTTATACATGTATGTTCTTCTTGACTAGGCCTGAATTAGCGACCAGGCCCGAATTAGTGGCCCTATACCATAAAAGTTGGATATAAAAAATTGGCCAATCATCACAATAAATGTAGAGTTTAACTGGATATCTACACATTGATATTGTAAAATATCAGACCCAATCCACAATGTAAACATTTTTGGTGAGTGTAGAGTAGTGACAGAAGTGCACAAACAAAAAGCTTCACACAGTGTCGAGCGGCTGATATTTATGATATCTATATGCAGAAAACCAAATAATCTGTTTATCCTGCTATTTCTGATTTCTGGTTTTTCCACCTCCCTTAGAAAGTTACATTTGTATGTGTTAGATAAAAGTAACTTCGATGATGTCTCCTCACACATTGTGACATTGCTGATAATTTCTCGTTAGATAATGTGATAGATGTTAAATTCTACATACATCTCAAAGCCGTGATACAAGAATTACAAATGACTGAGCAGGGAGATATCCACAAAGGGAGGGACAATTAATTTTAATTATTTTTATTTGAAAGTCGTAAAAACATCGCTTTTATCAAAAACTTATTAGGCTACACTCCTTTGGAATCATAGGGAGAAGTACTAGTGACTTCTCTTTTTTGAAACTGATAAGGAGAAGTGGTGAGACTGAAAAAAAAAGTGCTTATTCACCCATGTCAGATGCTATATAAATTATATTGATTGGTTTTTACAATGATATCAGACTAAAATAATTCAATGATACATCAGACTAAATTGTAAAAATACAAAATGGATATATTATGTACAATGTAAGCCTCAAATGAAATTATTGCTGAGAATTGGTATCTAAATAAACCTGCAATAATCAGTCAACTGACTGCATGTGTTATATTTATAGCATAGTATTCCGAGTTAGACAAATAAACTTTCGAACGCAAAGCGTGAGTTTATTTTGGCTAACAAAGGAAGGCGTTGCTATAAATGATTTGTGACATGAATGAGCCGCCCATTAAGTTATAGATTGAAAAGACGACAGTCCGTGCAGGAAAAAAAATCATCGTTTAGCGGGAAAATATAATAAACCGCAGTGTCTACATATTTAAGGAAGCACGGCAGACGTATTACCCTTTCCAGATTGGCGACACATCGAAGGCGATGATTTAGTTCTCTCTCAGGTGTGTATTTTTTTTTATAAACTTAGATTGATTTGCGATTATCGTCTTTTCTTTTTTTTTTTGCTTATAATCGGAAATCCGTAAATATGTACTGAGATATTTTATTTTAGTAAACATTTCAATTTTGTTGATCATCTGATTTATATGCCCTTTATGGGCCCTGTAGTTTTGGAAATAAACATATTTTATTCTATTCATATGTCAAGGAAGAGCGTGTTGGCCATTCCAGTGATAAAACGTCAAAGGACCACACCGTTACAAATACTAAAGGGGTAGTTCAATTTTCAAATTACAACTTCAACTTAATTCACTTTTATATTAGCTCTGCATGTGAGCAACATTTCATTTTGGTATATTAATATGTCGGTTTTTTTGGCAAATATGTTCTGTTTCAGAAGTGACAGAAGTTATATTTATTTTTTTCTGCCACTTCTTGAAATTTAGGAGCAGGCATTATATTTTTTGTTCTCTTGTCTAACGGAAAAAACCTGCAGAGATTTCCTTTAATTTGTATTTTTTATTTGAAATCTATTAAAATGACATTTATACGTGTGCTTTCTTGTAGGCGTAATCTTTTCCTAAGGAGGAGGAGCTTACCCATGCAATATTGGTTTTAGTGTTGTTGGTTATTGCATGGCTGTTTTCTTATTGAGTCATATAGGCCCATGTGACTTTTCATGCAATATTATTTGGTTGCTTTAGTTTAAAGCATACATTATGGTATATGCTTGTCGTTTCTATTTTATTCCATAAAAAGATCAAAGGAAAAAAGAAGATTCATGTTACAACATCTATTAAAGTTTTAAATTTTGTACAGTGTTTACAATACTAGAGGAAACCAGCAAAATCAGCCCCCTATTGCATGTGTTTTTCTGGTTATAAATTTTTGGACAACAAATCTTGTCTACTAAAGTCAGCATACTGGGGAAATTTAGTACATCTTAAAAAACATTTAAAATCTTAAGCTTAGTAAAACAACAGAGACAAAAGGCTTTTTTGGAGGGCTGGTAGAACAGATATTTTCAGGTGGGGAGCTTCATTCCCTTGTCCCCTTCTAGCATGACTGGGGCTCACATCCTCATAACTTAATATAATTAACAGAAAAGTAGAAAACTAAAGTAAACAAGAGTGCACACGCTGAAATGTCTCGCCTTCTTTACTAATCATTGATATTATGTTGATAGTCCTAAATATAAAGCTTTATTACAACTGTCACATAAACTTAACATTAACCAAGTAAACTAAACATTGACCAATGAACCATGAAAATGAGGTCAAGGTCAGATGAACCATGCTAGGCAGGCATGTACAGCTAACAATTCTTCCATACAACAAATAGAGTTGGCCTATTGCTTATAGTTTAAGAAAAACAGATCAAAACACAAAAACTTAACACTGAGCAATGAACCTTGAAAATGAGGTCAAGGTCAAATAAAACCTGCGTGACTGCCAAATAGATCATAAAATATTTCCATACACCAAATATAGTTGAACTATTGCATATAGTATAAGAAAAACAGACCAAAACACAAAAACTTAACTATAACCACTGAACCATGAAAATGAGGTCAAGGTCAGATGACACCTGCCAGTTGGACATGTACACCTTACAGTCCTTCCATACACCGAATATACTAGACCTATTGCTTATAGTATCTGAGATATGGACTTGACCACCAAAACTTAACCTTGTTCATTCATCCATGAAATGAGGTCGAGGTCAAGTGAAAACTGTCTGACGGGCATGAGGACCTTGCAAGGTACGCACATACCAAATATAGTTGAACTATTGCACATAGTATTAGAAAAAAAGACCAAAACTCAAAAACTTAACTTTGACCACTGAACCATGAAAATGAGGTCAAGGTCAAATGACACCTGCCCGCTAGACATGTACACCTTACAATCATTCCATACACCAAATATAGTAGACCTATGGCATACAGTATAAGAAAAACAGACCAAAACACAAAAACTTAACTATAACCACTGAACCATGAAAATGAGGTCAAGGTCAGATGACACCTGCCAGTTGGACATGTACACCTTACAGTCCTTCCATACACCGAATATACTAGACCTATTGCTTATAGTATCTGAGATATGGACTTGACCACCAAAACTTAACCTTGTTCATTGATCCATGAAATGAGGTCGAGGTCAAGTGAAAACTGTCTGACGGGCATGAGGACCTTGCAAGGTACGCACATACCAAATATAGTTGAACTATTGCACATAGTATTAGAAAAAAAGACCAAAACTCAAAAACTTAACTTTGACCACTGAACCATGAAAATAAGGTCAAGGTCAAATGACACCTGCCCGCTAGACATGTACACCTTACAATCATTCCATACACCAAATATAGTAGACCTATGGCATACAGTATAAGAAAAACAGACCAAAACACAAAAACCTTAACTATAACCACTGAACCATGAAAAGGAGGTCAAGGTCAGATGACACCTGCCAGTTGGACATGTACACCTTACAGTCCTTCCATACACCGAATATACTAGACCTATTGCTTATAGTATCTGAGATATGGACTTGACCACCAAAACTTAACCTTGTTCACTGATCCATGAAATGAGGTAGAGGTCAAGTGAAAACTGTCTGACGGGCATGAGGACCTTGCAAGGTACGCACATACCAAATATAGTTATCTTATTACTTATAATAAGAGAGAATCTAACATTACAAAAAATCTGAACTTTTTTTTCAAGTAGTCACTGAACCATGAAAATGAGGTCAAGGACATTGGACATGTGACTGACGGAAACTTCGTAACATGAGGCATCCATATACAAAGTATGAAGCATCCAGACCTTCCACCTTCTAAAATATAAAGCTTTTAAGAAGTGAGCTAACGCCGCCGCCGCCACGGCCGCCGCCGCCGGATCGCTATCTCTATGTCGAGCTTTCTGCGACAAAAGTCGCAGGCTCGACAAAAACCTTCTAAGAAAAACATTGTATACATACATGTAAAACATGTTTACGTAATGATTACTGTTTTATCAGTAACATGAATATTTCTTATCATTCTTAAACTTAAAGAGCTTTAGTGCTTAGTGATTTTTTTTTGATGAAATGAATAACAAATATTGCCATGATGACACAATCATTAAAAATCATGAAATATTCCAAATCAAAAAGAGCTCTAGAATATTTAAGGTAAGTACAAATGTACACCAAAGCTAGTTATAACAACAATCATGATTTTCAAACACATAACAATAATACCAAATTAGCTTTGTAAATACATTGTACCAGTTAACAGTAATCATAAATAACATCTTATCACTAAAAATAATATTTCATTTAGAAAATTCACAAGTTTAAATTTTTATTCATGAAAATAGAAAGTTTTGAAATATATGTAGGACTCTGAACCGCGATAATTTGACGATGAAGTGTGACAGTGTTTTTGATAACGCTGAAGTGTGATGGTCTACACAAAACTAAATGCTTTTCATGTCGATGTAGAAGTCAATTTGTATGTTAAAAGCAGTTTTCCAGGTTTTTTAGTTGATACAGGGCTTATATAAACTTTAAATACTACGAGAAACAGAGAGGATTGGTAGATAGGGAAAGCTAACCTTCTGTAGCGATGTTTTTCCTAAATCTACAAAAGGTTCCTTTTTACGTACAATGGAGCCTGACATTCCAGTCGGCAGATAGACTCTCCATATTATAATATTGCGGTAAACAAGGAACTCACAAGAGGAACAAAGTAAAGATAAAATATTAATGCAGAATTATGTCCACACGTAGAAAACCAAAGAGGACGATCTCTCATTTAGTATGCAATTGTAATTAAGGATAGACATAGACAATAATGAATGTAAATTTATATACTAACTATTAAAAAAATCTACATGTACTTTTCATAATAATTGCACATTTGTAGATTTTATACTAGCCATCATATAGACCATTGCACATCGACAAACGGACCATCGCACTTCAGCATGACCATCACACTTCAGCGTCCCCATCGCACCTCAGAGTCCTACTTACAGGGGTCACCACACCAGGCGAAGTAAGACTATGTTGCCCTAGGAAAGCTCCAGGGAGAAGTTTATGTCGCCCTCGATTTTCAGTAAAATTCCCCAATGTTGCCTCGTGATTTTTGAAAAATTCTTGATCCAAACGTAAACGACCCGATATCGCAATAGTTGACAAAATACACAAGAGTGCACACGCTGAAATGTCTCGCCTTCTTTACTAATCATTGATATTATGTTGATAGTCCTAAATATAAAGCTTTATTACAACTGTCACATAAACTTAACATTAACCAAGTAAACTAAACATTGACCAATGAACCATGAAAATGAGGTCAAGGTCAGATGAACCATGCTAGGCAGGCATGTACAGCTAACAATTCTTCCATACAACAAATATAGTTGACCTATTGCTTATAGTTTAAGAAAAACAGACGAAAACACAAAAACTTAACACTGAGCAATGAACCTTGAAAATGAGGTCAAGGTCAAATAAAACCTGCGTGACTGACATATAGATCATAAAATATTTCCATACACCAAATATAGTTGAACTATTGCATATAGTATTAGAAAAAAAGACCAAAACTCAAAAACTTAACTTTGACCACTGAACCATGAAAATGAGGTCAAGGTAAGATGACACCTGCCAGCTAGACATGTACACCTTACAATCATTCCATACACCAAATATAGCTGACCTATTGCATGCAGTATTAGAAAGAAAGACCAAAACTCAAAAACTTAACTTTGACCACTGAACCATGAAAATGAGGTCAAGGTCAGATGACACCTGCCAGCTAGACATGTACACCTTACAATCATTCCATACACCAAATATAGTAGACCTATTGCATACAGTATAAGAAAAACAGACCAAAACACAAAAACTTAACTATAACCACTGAACCATGAAAATGAGGTCAAGGTCAGATGACACCTGCCAGTTGGACATGTACACCTTACAGTCCTTCCATACACCGAATATACTAGACCTATTGCTTATAGTATCTGAGATATGGACTTGACCACGAAAACTTAACCTTGTTCACTGATCCATGAAATGAGGTCGAGGTCAAGTGAAAACTGTCTGACGGGCATGAGGACCTTGCAAGGTACGCACATACCAAATATAGTTATCCTATTACTTATAATAAGAGAGAATTTAACATTACAAAAAATCTGAACTTTTTTTTCAAGTAGTCACTGAACCATGAAAATGAGGTCAAGGACATTGGACATGTGACTGACGGAAACTTCGTAACATGAGGCATCCATATACAAAGTATGAAGCATCCAGGTCTTCCATCTTCTAAAATATAAAGCTTTTAAGAAGTTAGCTAACGCCGCCGCCGCCGCCGTAGCCGCCGCCGCCGCCGGATCGCTATCCCTATGTCGAGCTTTCTGCGACAAAAGTCGCAGGCTCGACAAAAACATGTTATCCAGAATTCAGAACTGATTTGCCCACGGTATTATACTCCAACATTAAAATTGCTATATACACTGTAGGATACATGTACTATAAGCAAGAAACAAGAAAAAAACTCAATTTTGCGATGTTTGTTTATTGTCCGCCATCTTTGTTATTGAAAATTGTTTTAATCTTTTCAAAACTCATATCATTTACCTAATCCATATTGATATGCAATTTTAATTTTGATTATCTTATATTTACTGATAGATATCAAAATTTGATGCTTTATTAAAAATTTTCATTTCTTTTCAAATGTTGCATAATGTAAACTGGAATCCGCTTGTATTTTAACTACGTACAAAGTTTAGTAGTCAGCTAGGAATCAGCACAACGATGTATAAACTACAAAACGTAGTCGGTTCAGGATTTGGTGTTACAGACTGCTGCATGTGCTCTGTTTTAGCTAAAGATCCTTTAAATAATATTTTGATGAATACTATAACAATTATTCGCTAAAGAACGGCACTATTTTACTTCCAAAGTTGTATATTTTTGTAAAATATCAAGTATGAATTTTGCCGCGTCTCCCACTGTATTTGTTTTCGATTTACAAGTACTTATTCAATTTCTGGTAATGAAAAATACAACTTTTCCGATGTTACTTTTTTTGATTTTGGCATGTTTTAACACTCTTGAAGTGTTCTGGGATCATTTTTATGCATTTCCAACAGCAACTTTATGCTGGGAAATGGCCTTTTCCATAAAAGTACCGCAAACAATTTGAAATCAACAGAGTTTTACTATATGTTTTCAACAAGTGACAAACACTTTTTCTTTCTGAATTCCAATTAAAAATAATTTAAAGAACAAATATATTTTTTTATTATGATCTTAGCAATGAAAATAGTGAAACCTTTTTCAAGATATTTTTTTGAATTTAACTTACTTATATCAATTGATTATTATTTTGTTTTTAAAGGGTTCTTTTTCTTTTTTTAATATGTTATTAAACACAATTGTGAGCAATTCAAATATACTTTTGTTTGAAAAAATCTTTGAGATGCAGCAAAATTTGACCAATGTCAAATCTTCAATTCATTCAGACCTAGCTGCACAACTGTAGCTCTTATATTCCTTATGATATTTTTTGACAATTTGCATACGTAGGTACAAATGTAATTCAGACCACAAGCATGGCAAGGCAAGTGAATACCACCTTAGCAGTTGTCATTCAAAAATAATGCTTTGAAAAATAACAAAAAGGTATAGATTCTTGGAAAATTTGATTCTTAAAAAGTATTAACGCGATCCTTCAATTTTCCCTGAAGTCTCCCTGTTGGGGCTTCACTTCTCCCAGAAGTCTCAGTCCCTGTTGGGTCTTAACTTCTCCCTGTACATATATAAATCTAAAAAGCATCTAATAATGTAACCTGTATTTGAAAAAATAGGGCGTGAACGAAGCCAGGGAGCGAACGTGTTGCTGTAGGGTGCGAACATGTTATGGGTGCGAAAGGACCTGATACCCTACATCATGTACATGCTTTTACTGAAATAACCTACTGCCTATGAACAATGATGAATTATAGTCTTTTCATTAAATATATTTCTATGTTACTATACATAAAATAAATTTTATTTATCTTTAACTGCAAACATGAGCTTACATCATGTACTTTAAAGTCTGTATCAATCCAAACCAACTTTAACTTCAGTCCATCACAAAATTTAGAAAACAAATATGTTGGCATTAATGAATCCAAGAAGACATCAGAATCCAAAACTCTTTTCTTGGCAAATTGGCGTAAACTTGCTGCAGACTTTGGACATTTCGTAAACATGAACACATAATTTCCTGAAGGCTGTTCTGTATCAAGACTAAGTGATCCCTTCTTTTGATGAATTTTGCGTCTTTTGACTGGTGAAAAGAGATCAGGTGTTTCCCACTCAAAGTCATGTGTCAGTTCAGTTAAGGATCTAGTTAAACAATCAGACGGAGATATTATACTGACTTTTCTGCAGGAAGATTTTGCATCAATATTTTTCTGCACAAGTTTTATTCTCTTCAGCAACTCTCTTTCAAATTCCTCGAAATATTTCAACTTAAATTCTTTAAAGCTATATTTTTCAACCTTAAGACAATGTAAACGTGAATCGAAAAATTTAAAACCCCATTTCAGTAAATTGTGCTTTGTTCTTTTCTGTTTTGTATTCTGAGGAAAATCAGCAGAGAGATGACATAAGATTCGGAAAATAGACAAAGTAAGCGTTCTTGAATATTGCAAAGAAATATCAAGAGCATCTTCTGAAAAAGTATCTATTAGGAAGACTGCTTGACAGTTTTGACTTGTTGATGACATTTTTCATTCCGGTATATTCAGTTGTTATTGGAATTCTTGTCATTTTGCTTTTTTGTTTTTGGAAATCATATTTGGCGCCGCCATTTTCCCTCGGTATCCACTTCCGGTAAGAACAAAATGTTAATCTAGTCCCGGATAAGGAACCTGAAATCAATCAAATAAATTTACAAAAAATAATCACTCACTCACTCACTCACTCACTCACTCACTCACTCACTCACTCACTCACTCACTCACTCACTCACTCACTCACTCACTCACTCACTCACTCACTCACTCACTCACTCACTCACTCACTCACTCACTCACTCACTCACTCACTCACTCACTCACTCACTCACTCACTCACTCACTCACTCACTCACTCACTCACTCACTCACTCACTCACTCACTCACTCACTCACTCACTAACATATCAGTCTTAATGTCTGAACTCAATGGCAAGAATCATTTACTTTTGCAGCTGCTATAGATCATTCTCCCGATCATTTCAAGACTGAAAATAGTTTTTTGTTCTGTCACTATTCAAGAATCTTTTCCTGTCCTGGAATGGTACAGTTTATCACTGTTCTGCATGCAATTTATTGATAGTTTTTCTCTGTTTATTTGACCGTCTCTATCGCTGCATAACATTATAGCAGTGCCCTTGTCTCATGTATATTTTTGAGTTATTTGATTTAGTTTTTTATGTAAAACCGCACCTGCTTATTTTCCGTTGATAATACATACGGGATAATATAATACCATCTGTAACTTCTATATTTGAGAAAAACCTTGATCTCAATATAGAAGACATAAAAATACAAGTCATGTAATATGTTTCTTCATCTTTATTGTAAAAAAACAATATATTGGATAGTCAGTGGATACAGTCTGGATGTACCCGAGTATGCTGTATTAGTTTGTATGGTATACAGAGCATGCGTTAACAAGGAGCAGCAACTCATTTCTACTCGTGTAAGTCATAAACATTTCAGTATAACTTACGATCAATTTTAGTCGCAAGATTTCTTGGAAAAAGAGTCATATTCCAGTGGCAGTCCAAATTTCCCCGACCTTCATTCCGGACGTCCTCTGTAACAGGACCTTCCTTTAATATTTATTGTTAATGTGTTCTGGTCCTGAACATGCATGAAATATTTGCCACTGGACGTTAAGCAACCATCAATCAATCAATCAATCTTTCTTGCACGAATTTGTGTTTTGTCAACATGTAGGTAATTGTAATAATGTCCAAGACGTATCAGCCGACATAGCTGATGACACAGATGACATATCATGAACATTATTTATTGGAAATATTTCTAAATAGATTGGGGTGTTCTTCGTTCATGCCGTACGTGAATTTTAGCTTTTTATAAATTTTTCGACGTTTCATTTTTTATATGAAAACGGTCATGTCTTACTTTTTGAATATGTCATAAAACCCGCTTGGATTCACTACAGTACCGTCGAATAAAAGTTAATCGTATTTGTCACTTCAATAACTCCTGCTTCTTGAATCATATGAAAAATTATATATCGTGTATTGAGACTAACAGTGGGAAATGTTTTCAAGAAAACTCCGTCACATGTCGAATCCTGGAAAACTGAGACGAAATCTAACCTGCAAATGTTGTTGGATTTTATCGACAATGTATTTTTGATACTCTATTAGTATATATTATTCTCCAATGTATGTATATCTTGTCCAGAAATGCTATTTATCGATGTCTAAGTTCGAGGTTATTCTGTTGCAGTTATTTATTAGGCTTTGAAATCCTTCAAATGTGTTACCTTCGAAAAAGTTAAAGAATACGTTATTCTGACGTCATGTGCAAATATGAAACACATCTAAGTCGGAACTTAAGCATTGATTATTGTACTTCTTGTATAATTTATTGAATGGATTATAGATTTTGAAAAAATCAGCAGTTTTTATTCTAGATGAAAATAAGAATTTTTCAAGTGATGAACTTTGACCAAGGCATGATGGCACCAGCTTTCATATTTAAGACACATATATTCAATAAGTATACTATTTAAGATTTCAAATGCGCTATTCTAATGTCATGAGGTATGAAGTTAATTTAAATTTTTAAAATTGTCCTCTCCGCCGCTCCACTAATAGTCACACTAGGTGCATTTCTTTATGCTTTCAGCTGCTGACCTTTGGCAATGTTTCTTTTATATTTTGCCAGAATCAAAGCCTACTTTTCTAAACAGCAAACACAGTTTTACGTTTTCGAGCCATGACATGCTAGGTCTATACTCTGTGGAGCGGACATTGTCTATATAATATGTGGTAGGGATCGCTGTAATAGGTAACTGTTCATTATACGGATTAGACTGAAAATGTTTTTGTATATGTATGTGTGAGTGGGTGGGTGGATGGGGTTGATTCTAAACGTGGAAAGCAAAAAAAAAAGCAAACTTTTCTATATAGTCAAATAGTCTAGAAGTAAGTCAGTTTTGAATTAAAGCAACCCAACCGATATTTCCGATAGACTTTGAATATACAATATCGCAAATAGTCAATAGATGTCTATGCATGTTAATCTTTTATGTAAGGTTGCTGACCCGCTGACTTTTAATTAATTATCTCCTTATTGATATCTTAAATATTAGTATTAAGTATAAAAGAAGGTTTGGTTCCTTCTTCTTTTTCTTATTAACACGTAACCGCTCCCCCTTTTGATATTTCATTTTTCCACTACTGGTTAAACAAAGCGGACCAATATACGCTTTTGTGATTTGTCTCGTCCGTTCGAACAATTCATCAAGACATAAAACTATTGCTATTATAAACATGGTAGAAATTACATGAATTTAATATGTTATACATTGGTGGGGTCATGGCATGATTAAGAAAAAGCGAGTTAATCAGAAATATTTAAAACTATTCAAAGAACAAAAAAGGTCTACGCGGTGAAGTTTTAAAGAAAAGGGCAACCAAAGCGTACTGTTTACACAAGCAAGAGTCACATGAGTATAGAACTTCTCCAGTCTTGCCTTGGGGAAGGGTGTCTGTTTTAAACACAATCCCGTCTGATCGAAATGCATTTATTAAATGTATAATCCAGTCTTCAGACAGTGCAAAACACATTTAACTTTTTTGTTATCCCTTTCGACACTCTATGCCCGCAGACCCTAGACAATTGATTACATGTTAAATACTAGCATGTTAACGTCTTGAATGTGGCTGAAATGTTTGATATTTAACTTGAAAAAGCAAATGCTAGTAAAATGTACTTACTGTAGTCTACATGGAGATAGAACATTTTTTATTTATTCGCCAGCCATCAGATCTTGGGTTCATCTCAGTAAACAGCACGTCAGTACTTTGATTTCTAAATGATTAGCGATACGGGCACAGGTGTGACTCTTGTTTAAATTAATTTTACTCATTTTTAGCATGTATTATTTGATATAGCTTTTTAAAAGTCAGTCTAAATAGAAACCATTAAAACTGCATTTGATTAGTGTAGCTTGACACATGTTTTTGCATTTAGTTAAGATGCAAGCTCATTTCGTATATTTATGTTGCACTTAATTTAAAAGTGTAAAAAAACATTTTCCGGGAATGCCGACTGCACATGCATGCCACTGGACGCTAAGCAACCATCAATCAATCAATCTTTCTTGCACGAATTTGTGTTTTGTCAAAATGTAGGTAATTGTAATAATGTCCAAGACGTATCAGCCGACATAGATGACATATCATGAACATTATTTATTGGAAATATTTCTAAATAGATTGGGGTGTTCTTCGTTCATGCCGTACGTGATTTTGGCTTTTTATAATTTTTTCCGGACGTTTCATTTTGTATATGAAAACGCCGGGTCATGTCTTACTTTTTGAATATGTTATAAAACCCGCTTGGATTCACTACAGTACCGTCGAATGAAAGTTAATCGTATTTGTCACTTCAATAACCCATGCTTCTTGAATCATATGAAAAATTATATATCGTGCATTGAGACTAACAGTGGGAAATGTTTTCAAGAAAACTCCGTTACATGTCGAATCCTGGAAAACTGAGACGAAATCTAACCTGCAAATGTTGTTGGATTTTATCGACAATGTATTTTTGATACTCTATTAATATATATTATTCTCCAATGTATGTATATGTTGTCCAGAAATGCTATTTGTCGATGTCTAAGATCAAGGTTATTATGTTGCAGTTATTTATTAGGCTTTGAAATTTCCTTCAAACGTGTTACCTTCGAAAGAGTTAAAGAATACGTTATTCTGACGTCATGTGCAAATATGAAACACATCCAGTAAGTTGGAACTTAAGCATTGATGATAATACTTCTTGTAAAATTTGTTATACCATTTACAGCTGGTGTTTTGATCGTGAAATATTTGGCTGTCCATTTTTGTAATATTTTTTTAGTCCCCCGTTTTACTCTTATTTTTACTTATTTTGTCCATTCTTCTCTTCTGTAAGCCTTATTCATACCTTTCATATACTGTAGTTGAAACAAGAAAAAGGTGCATAGATATGTTATAAAGAAGGTCTTATAAAAATACAGATACATTTAAATTTGGCAATGGCTATTCATTTTGTGTGTATATAATTATATATAAGTACATCTGAACCAGTGACAACTCTGTGACAGATTTTATCCATCGGATCACCAGCAGTGATGGTGATACAAGGCTGAAAATACTTTCTGTATAATATATAATTCGTCTAAACATCAGCCCAACAATGTTATATTTGTAAATTTGCGGAAGCAAATTTTTTGTTCTTCCCTGGCCGGGGTTTGAACTCATGCTACTGAGATATCGTGGCACCAAATCGCATTGCACTATGCCCGACGCGCTAGACCACTCGACCACCTAGGCTCTACAATAATAAAGCTTTCCGCGGTCGTAAAGGATCTTACAAATTAATACAGGATGCAGTCATATAAATAATTATATTATAAGTACGTCTGAACCAGTGACAACTCTGCGACAGATTTTATCCATCACGATAGATAATTCCGCTGATCTGTAAACATTCCATCTTCATGCCTTATATATCATGTACTGTGTTACGACGCTAGGTAAAAACTGACGAGGAAAGGTAACACCCGGCCACCGCCGCGGAAAGCTTTATTATTGTAGAGCCTA